CCCAAGCTCTTCCATAATACCCAAACTCTGCTTATTAGCCCATTATTTGCTGTTTTCTGCTTGTCTTTTTCAACTCAGCTTGGAAATCAGTAGATGGCCCTTGAAAAGCAGCATGGCAAGTTTGACTCTGCTTTTTCTCTGTAATCTTGTCCTGTTGAGTACTAGCTGCCTTGATAGTCTTGAACTTTTAATTGTTCTTATCTCTAACATACTGATAATAAGAAGGGGGAGGAGGAGAATCGTGGAGGGTGGCTTCTGTATTCCACGGGACATATGTATCTCCTCACTGAGACAGAATGGCACTGACACCAGGAGATTGCTGGAAGTGCCTTTTCAGCCAGCCACAGCAACCATAATTGCTCCTATTGATATTTAGACTGGAGCCAATAGCCACAACTAGGTGGTCCTATATCTTAGCTGGGACATGGACAGATATTGATTACATAGATCCTCTAGAACTCCTAGCCTTTTGGTTTTAGACTCTCTCAGGTCATTCCTTTAAGTTATCAATAACTTAAGAAGTAACGTAACTCTGTATTTTGGCAAACTAAGTGTGTACACATTTGGTCAGTTATAGAGTCATATTTCTGTTATATATAAGAATATGTTAATTTATTGCTTAATTACTGTGATCTTACTACTCTGCAAGGGATACAAGACCAGACAGTAATCCTGGCATTGATTCATATTTCCATCTGAGATCATTTTTTCTTGGATAAAGAATTGTCTTTAGCATTTCTTGTATCGTAGGTTTGATGGTGATAAATTCTGTCAGCTTTTGTCTGCAAAAATATTTATCTTCCTTTTTTCAAAGTTATTTTTGTAATGTATATAATTCAGCATTAACAGGGTTGTTTTTCTTTTTGCTTTTTTTTTCCCCTTTTCTTTCAGAACTTCATTCCAAAATAGTATAAGTCTTGCAGGGGGAAAAAAAAAACCTTCATATATACTCCTTTGATTCTGGGTTACATAATTTCTGATGAGAAGTCAGTTGTCTTTTGTGTTTTTGTTCCTTTGTACATGTTTTTTTCCCTCTGTCTGCTTTTACGATTTTCTCTTTATTACTGCTTTTCAGCAATTTTATTATAATATGACTTGCTGTAATTTTTGGTTTTTAAAAAAATGTTTGTTATGCCTGGGGTTCTTTGACCTTCTCAAATCTATATGATTTTAGTTTTCATCAAATTTGAAAAAGTTTTTGTCATTATTTCTTCAAGTTGTTTTTCCCTTCTTTCTGCCCTCTTCTAGTTACTTCCAGATAGACACTTAATATTGTTCCACAGTTCACTGGATTTTTTTGTTTTTATTTTTTGTCATCATGCTTCACTTTGCATAGTCTCTATTGCTGTTTCAAGCTCACTGGTCTTTTCTTCTGCAATGTCTAATCAGCTGTCTATCCCATCCGTTTTGTTTTCCTTTAAGGTTTGTGTTTTCGTATCTAGAAGTTCAGTTTGGTTCTTTTTATATATTCCATCTCTCTTTCTCAATGTGTTCATGTTTTCCATTACATCTTTGAGTATATACAACATGTTTATAATAGCTCTTTTAATGTCCTTTTCTGCTGACTCCATCATTCTGTCATTTCTATGTCTGTTTTTTTAATTATGTTTTATTGGTCATAGGTTTGAAATTAGTTTTTAATTATTGCTATAATCTTAACATTTTTAAGCATAGAGAAATCCATACCCTTATTGTTGTTTGTTTGTTTTACTTATTTGCTTATTTTATTTTCTGGTCTAAGAATCCAAATCCAGATAAAGAAAAACCTCCTTGTAATGCTCAAGAGTTAGAAGAATGTGATATTTTCTTTGAGGAGAGCTCCAGTTTATGCAGATTTGATGGCAGTACATTAAAAACTACTCATGTGGTAAGTTCTTGAACCTACTACTTCTAAAACTTTATGAATAAAATAGAGTTACTCATGATAATTAAATGATCAAATATATGTTTTGCAAACATAACTTGATTGGCAGTTATTGACTGTGATTAAAGTAGCATCTTTCCATACCACCATACCCAATAATACAGTATTATATTGTTTCGATACTACTATATGTTGGTATCTTTCAATTGGCTTTTTTCTTTGCAGGTGTTTGACATACAGTTGTGACCCTGTAATGTGTAATTCTTCACATTTACTTTTTTCATTCAATATTATGAC